GGAGACCTGGGTCAGGATGGCATGCCATGATGGTTTGACTGGGTGAATGAGGAGTGGAGAACGTGCCCCACCGAGATATGCCAGGACTCTGTGGCTTCCAGGAACCTCTGAAAGAGGAATCAGAACTCTAGTGCCACCACGCCAAACCACACTCCACATTCTAATAACCAACAGCTGGCTCTGCTCTAACAATGATGTCAATGCACCGCATCCTGGAACGCTGAGCAAGCCTCCTTGGCGGGAGGACTGGAGGTCTAGGTGAACGCTGGCGTTCATTCCTGAAACAGGCATCAAACCCTTTACGAGAATTGTTGCATCACCCAGAAAGCAGAGCCTGAGGCACAGGTTAACATGCCGACACTGTGTCTGGAAGGTGCAAACCCCGGGTGGCAAGTGTGAAGAGAAGAAGAGGAAAGGCAAGAAAAGATGCCAAGTGACCCAGTGGGATGCATCACCCAGTCCCCACTGCTTCCTAATGAGCAGTGAGGAAACACGGCAGGTGGCTGGCATGTCCCATTAGCGAGGGGGTCTTCTCGGGAAGGCTCGCAGGGCAGCTGGTTCCTGGGAGGGTTGTGAAGGGGAGAAAGAAGGGGGTTACCTGTCCCTCCTTCCCCCACCTCCCACTGGAAAGCTGATTTCCCTGCATTCTCGGTTGTGTCGTCAGCCCTCCAGGGGCTGCTCAGGAAGGCAGATCTCACCCTGCACCCTGTGTTACGGCTTTTCAGCCAAGTTTGGTCATGGAGAAGGAACTGAGTGTGCTGATGTTGTGCCAATGGGGTTCAGCCCCGGGCAAGTTTGCTATGGATTCAACGTGACTAAAGAAAATGACAGCAAAACATTCTTGGGGTGAAAGGGGTATACCCAACTTTATTTCCAGGTGGCAGGTCCGTCACTAAAATCCCGTCCACTCAGAGTGAGTCTGCAAGCAGCAAGCCGGTCTCTGCCTCTGGGCCCCTCTGTCTGCACGGCCCTCCTTTCGGCCCCTCTGTCTGCACAGTTGTCCTGCACAGCCATCCTCTGGGCCTCTGTCCTCTGCTTTCCTGCAGCCTTGCAGCCCTGCCACCATGTCATGCCCAGAGCACTGGGCAGAGCTCTTTATATAGAGTCAACAGCCATGTAGTGCCCACAGGTGTGCAGTGAGCTAGTCAGCCAGGGCCAGGGGAGAATCCTGGCCACAGGAACTCTCATTTTATCCACGGCTGAGCAGTGCTGAGCAAGAAGAAGAGAAAGCCAGGTGGTTGAGGGAATCCGAGGCGGAGTCCAAAAGTCGGCGCTCACGAACACCGCGCACGGAGCAGTCTTTTATACCACAAGGCCTTTGATGGGGTACTGCCTTCAAGGACTCACAGCTGGGGAGAAAATAGCTCAACTCGGGAAATGGCAAATCATTCAATCACAAAGCACAACAGACTCTGAAGGCCGGGCCCTGGATGGTCATCCGCCTGGCCAACGACACGGACACCCGGGCTCAGCTCTGTGTTCCTTTGGCTTGGGGTTTGTCTCAGTGCGCCCGGCGCTCGGGGAAAGAGCTTGGGTGCAGAAGGCACTGGGTTGTTTGGGAAAGTAAGGTTTGGTGACGTGGGAGGCATAAAGATGTTACAGGTGTGGCCATGAATGTCATTTTAACATAAAATATATAACGTGCGTCTCATGTTGTTAACCATTTGGGGTAAGACAGAGCCTCTTTGGCTATTCCCCTGATTAGAGTTCCAAGCATCCCTCCTCCCCTCCCCTCATCCCCACAAAGCACAGGTACAACAGTCAGTATTTGATTTCTAGTTTAGGACTCAGAGCCTGTATAAAACAATCTCAGGTTAGAATCCTTCTGGATTTGTGTGATTTATTTTCCAATCTTTCTTGGTTGACTGGCCCAACCTAACTCAACCACACTATTATTTAAGAGCTTTCCTTTATCCTTTCCAGGGAAGTCTCATTTTTAGAGCAAAGAAGTCTCATTTTTACACCAAACTGGTTGGTTTATGTGATAAACTAAATCACCTGGTTACAACAATGCGGGCCACTGGCATGAGCAGGTTTGGGGACAAACAGGGTGGGTCCGGGGAGTGTATGTTTCCTGCAGCTCCTGTAACAAAGTGCCGCATGCTGAGGGGCTTAAAACACTTTACTTAAACCACTGCACCCAGTTCTGGAGGCCAGAGGCCCGAGATCAAGGTGCGGGTGCGGTCGGCTCCCCGGAGAACCTGCTCCAGGCCTCGCTCATCCCTCCTGCTGGTTTGCTGGAGGCTCGGGCGGCCCTGCAGGTGGCCCTCCCAGGTCTCTGTCCTCAGGCTCACTCAGTGATCTCCCCATGTGTTTGTCTGGGTTTCTTCCCTTCTAGGGACACCCGTCCTCCCGTGTTCAGGGCCTCCCTTAAACTAGTAGCGCCTCGTTTGACTGTGATCGCCTCTGCAAAGACCCTATGTCCAAGGCAGGTCCCCCTGGCGGTTCCATGGGCTATAATGTCACTGATCTCTCTGGGGGTCCCAGTTCGGCCCACCACAGTGAGCTGTGCTTTCTGTGGGGAGCAGGCGGCCCTGGCATGCTGCAGAGACCTCTGTCCCCGTGGGCATCTGGTGATGCAGGTGACTGTGTGTTCTGCAGCCAGATGTCTGGCGAGGTGGTCAGATGGGGAAGGTCAGGAGAGCTTCAGCTTCCCGAGCTCCTCCACCTGAGGCCTGGGAGCAGGTTTGGCACAGGGACCCAGAGGCTCTTGGTACCAGGAGGGACAGAGAAGGGCCACAAAACCACCCAGAATTCACCCCGGGACAGCCGTCGAAACCAAAAGCCTTCTTCCCACCTTTCACCCCCCAGTGTCAATCTACCACAGGGCCAGGCCGATCTCACCCACGAGGCGTTCCTCGGACTCCTCTGCTCACTTGGTTCTTTGGGTCCCAAGCTGGCTCCAAACCATGGTCTGACATAAGGCTTCCTGAGCTCAGCCATGCTTGCAGCCCTTCCTTGCCCCGTCAGGGTGGACGCAGCCTGACCATGGCCTCTGAACCCTCATGAGGAAGGGAGGAGGCTGTGGGGGGCCCTGAGGATGAGGAGGGGTGAAGCCAGGGAAACGAGGCCGCTGTGAAGGAAAGCCGCCGTGCGGAGTTCCCTTTGCTGCCCTCAAAGACCGTGTCAGTGTCCAGAGAGTGAAGATCTGAAGCCTGTACTTGACCCTGTTCCTCTGGGGTCTCTGACACTGGGGGCTGGTCCCCGGCTGCAGCTTCCAACGTGCAGGGGACACACCAGTCCTTTGCTGTTCCCTGATGGCTTGGTCCCCTCGTTCCCAGCAAAATACCTTAATGAGACGGCCACACAAATGCTTCTCTGGAAAAAAAGGCCTTGTGGGCTGCAATCCGAGGCTCAGCTCTGTGTTCCTTTGGCTTGGGGTTTGTGGGTGAGGGGCCGCCTTGGGTGTGGGCTGGCTGCTGCTTCATGCCTGGAACCCCTCTGTGCACCCAGGCCAGCTCTTTACTGTAGGTAGAGGAGAGAGGCAGGTGTCCTGCAGGACCGCAGGGATTTAAACACTGAGCAGCATTAACTATAGTTGTTATAATGGCTATAAAAGTCACTAAATTCTTTGTATTATTACTAGTATTATAAGTTGATCAACAAGGAATTATGAAGCCAGCATTTGTTGTAAAGGGACTTCCGCTTAAGATGGGAAACTGAGTGGGCTCAGAAAGAATGCCTCAGGAAGCGTGTGGGACACACACACGCACACACACCTTTGGACATGCATTAATGTCCAAGACTAAAACCAAGAAAGTAAAATCCATGGTCCCAGAAACCAAGAGGAAGCCAGAACTGTGTGGGGAGCAAGGCTGGGGGCCCCGGGGTCGCTGGCTGAAGGGGGCTGGGTGCCACGCTGTGGGAAGAGCTGGGACCCAGGCCCAGGGGACACACAGCAGAAGGATGGAAGGGTATATGTTATTACATGCCTGGAAGTGCAGAAAATAGCACAACTTTATAGGAAGGTTGAAATAAGTGTGTTTAAAGTATTTCAAAAGATAGAGGGAAAAAAAGACAGTCTAAATCAAGGACATGACATTTGGAAGACGAAATACAGCAGGTGGGTCTGAGAAAGAGCAAAGCAGACCGTGGAAATTACACAAAATAAAACTAAACCAAATAAACCTAAATGGACATGTTGACAGTCAACTGGGATTAATGATTAAGGGGAGCCATCTAGGAAAAAGAAGCCTCAAGATCTGGAGAAGGCGGGGGAGCAGCCCCGACACCTGCCGAGTGGGAAGTTCCCAAGGGGAGATGAGAAGGCACCAGACGAGGCAATTTTCAAAGCCATAATGGCTGAGAATTTTCCAGAACGGATGAAAGACATAAGACAGATGGAAAAAGCAAATCTCTGAACAGGAGAAGTAAAAACGCATCCTGGATAGACACATTTTACTTCATGTTTGGTGACTGCAATTCAAAGAGAAAAATCTGAGCTGCCATCAGAGAGAAAAATGAACACTTTGAGACACTGCTGGGGGGAATGTGGACTGATAAATCCTTTTTGGGAGGTAATTTGCTATAGCAGATACAAACTCTTAAAAAAAATCCCCAAACCCATTTATTTGTCATTTTCACTTCTAGGACTTTGTTCCAAGAAAATAGTAATGATGCGTACAAAGATTTAAATTCAGCAGTGATGATAATGGGGGAAAAATTGGTAAAAAAAAATCTAAGTTACTTTGAAACAAACAACTATATATACACTATGGTACTAATCATAAACCACGATGTCACCCAGACACAGAAATCATGCTTTTTAAAGAATATTTAATGATGTGGAAGGATGGACATGATATATTACGCACCTAAGGAAAAAGCAGATGGTAAAACCATGTCCAGTCTGTTCTTACATTGCTTCTGCATGTATTTACATGCGTCCATGTGTGTGCACACGTATGCACATGTGTGGAAGGATTTGAGTGACATTATAGCAATTTCCTCTGGATAATGGGCCTACTGTGGTTTCATTCTGTGTCTGTGTTTTTGCACATAGGTGCTGCCTGCAGTGGGGCTGATGGAACTGCCTATCTCTCCAGGCCAGGGAGCATTAATTGAGGTAATTCATGTAACAGGCTTAGCATGCAGCCAGGCACAGTGTGGATGCAAACTAATGAGTTTATTCAATAAACTGACATTACTGCTGGACATCATGCTTTGTCAGCTATACTCCTTTTATGTCCTATAGAGTCAGCCTTGCAAAGCCTCTGCTGTGGAAAGAAGCCAGACTGGCAGGTGAAAGAGGAGAAAGTATTGGTGAGCACACTAAGCAGGGCTCAGCAGACACCCTCGATGTGGTGGACTTCAGGCTCAGGGCTCTCCTCTCCAACCAGGTAGGGACTGGGGTCCATGGTGTGGGGCAGGAGGGGGAAGGACAGAGGGGAAGGTGCTGTCACCTGGGGTGGCCTCCTTGGAAGGAGCTACTGGTGGCTGAATGATGGCCCCAAATGACAGCCCCCAGAGATATCAGGTCCCTATACCTGGAACCTGTCAATGGCACCTCATCTGGGAATAAGGTTTTTGCAGGTGTGGTTAATCTAAGGCTTTTGAGATAGAGTTTTCCTGGATTAACAGGTGGGCCCTAAATGCATCATTAGCATCCTTATAAGACAGAGATGAGATCTGATGCACAGAATAGAAGGGAATGTGACCAGAGAGGCGGAGACCGGGGCCGAGGACTGTGGGCAGCCACCGAAGCTGGGAAAGGCAGGAGCGGATCTTACCCTGGTGTCTCCGCAGGAGCAGGCCCTGCCGATACCTCGATTTTGGCCCAGTCTTACTGATTTTTTTACTTCTGGCCTCCAGAACTGGGAGGGAGAATAAACGTGTATTGTTTTGAGTCACCAAGTTTGTGGTGATTTGTCACAGCAACCCCAGGACACAAACTTTTCCTGAAGCCCTGCCCAGTGGCTTCCATTTACTTCTCGGCCCAAACTGCACATCAGGACCACCTGTGCCTGGCTGCAGAGAAGCCTGTGAAGCGCTGGTGCTGTCAGCCGACCTGGCGGACCCAGTGCTGTGCTCTGTCAATGAGAAAGCAGAGGTTAGTGGCTTCAGGACAGGCAACCAGCAGCCTGTTTGCCCGGCCCCCCCAGCTCCTGGCACGTAGTCAGTTAATGTCGGGGTCCAGGTGAACTGTGCTGTTAAGGTCCCGGCTCCTCCTCTGTTTGCTGTTTCCTTTTCTGGGTTCTTCTCTGCCTTACGTCAAGTTCAGGAGGGGTCCGAGAGGGCTGAACACCTCCTCCCTTTGGGCACAAACTCTGCTGGTGGCAGTGGGACGTGGCTGGCAATTAGGACAATAAGAGGGAAGAGCAAGGCTTGGTTCTCCTGGGAGAGAAACCCCAGCAATCTGGGGAAAGCTGAGAGGTGCAGGTAAGGGAGGCCAGCCCTGGGCTGAGGTCTGAGGACGCTGTGATCAGAGCCAGGCTCTTGCACGTGAGCCCCCGGACCTGAAGCAGAATGTTCTGGTGGCAGGCAGGGGATGAGTTGGGGGGAGGTGAAGCAGGGGCCACCTGGAAGCTCACAGATGTGGGAGGGCTGTGGTGTGTCCAGGGCTGCCCCTCCGCTTAGCAGAGCGATTCTTTGCACAAGAAGTTACACACCAATGAACTGATTCGAGAATGTACACCCTCAGGACTTAGTCTAGAAACGTGGTGTTTCTAGGACCCAAGAGAAGAATGGACCTTTAAAAAGAGGGATTGCACATTTTTAGATCCTCACCACTACCACCCATCTGGGCCCTCTGCCTGCATCCCACTTCCATGGTGCAGCAGGGCAGGGAGAAGGGGACAAGAACCTTATGGGTCAGAAGGAAATGGCGCTAGGGACATGGATAAAGGCATCAGACTCTTGCCCAAATCAGCAGAGAAGATGTTATTCAAGACTAGTGCAATAGGGCAGAGAGAATCCTTAACTCGGCAGAAACGAGAGATGGAGGGGGTTTTAGATGCTGAGTGAGGTGCCATATCCACCTGACACCCCATATGGACACTTCTTGCCCCCAAAGGGGACACAGATTGCTTTGAATTCAATTTCACAGCACCAACGGCACTGGTGGGTGACACCCCTTCCCCGGCCCTTACTAGTGCCAGTGAGTGAGGCCCCAGGGGGTGCACGCCCCTCACCCCGCCCTCCCCTTCCTCCTCTCCGGACACCGAGGCCCCCAGGCTTTGCTTTGTGGAAGAAGGCCACAAGCTGCGGCCATAGTTTCTGCTTGAAATATTTAGACATCAAACTCCACTGGCCCAAAGTGTAATCAAATGTTCAATTACAAGAAGTTTCCAGGTTGAGTTTCTCCTTCCCCTCGGGCCCCAGGGCCGGAGGGTGTGGCCGGGCTGGGCGGTCAGGCTGCTTGTGTTTGCCGACTGCAGCTCATCTCACTGATGTCAGGCTCCTGTCCTCCTGGGACTCTGGGAGGCAGTAACTGCATCTCACAGGGTGGCTCCTAAGTCCCTGAGAAAGTAAGTCCTGGGTTGAAGATTTACGTCTCAAAGGGGCTGAGAAAGAATTTATAATTGTAAGTTTTCTAAAGTAAAAGCTCTAAGAAAAGGAATATCAAGGGCCCAGAGTCAGGAGAGGCCTGTTGTCAAGCCAAGGGGAAGGCTGAGGCTGTCTTGGTTAGGAGTCACCCTCAGATGCAAAGAGAGTGACTGCCTGCCCCTCCCGGCCCTGGGGCCCGAGGGGAGGGAGAAACAAGAGGGAGAGGGAAGATGGGTCAGAGGTGGGGGGCATGGGGCCCAGGGAGGGCACCCCGTGAGCAGAGAAGCACATACCCTTTTTCCCACGGGGGTCTGGAGGAGACGGCCTTGCACGACCCCTCCATTCCTGGGGTCATGTTCCAGGAGAAGTCATGGTGAAGCCTGATCAAGGACAGGGGTTTTCCTTGTCTCCTGGAAAGCCCTCACGGCAAGGAAGGTGATTCTGAGTCCTGCCTCGGAGGGACCTGCAAGGTGGGCACCCCTGCAGTGAAGGGCTTCCGGGCAGTCCCCCAGGCTGAGCAGGTGGGAACGGTAGCCAGACTGCAGGCGTTCACACAGGGCTTGTGACAGCCAGCCTAGCAGGGCTGGTGTCTGGTCCCAGAATCATCTGAAAACATGCCTCCCATCTTCAGGCCCATGGTCTGGGCTGGCCACTGTGGCTGCATGGCCAGCAGTGGTCAGCCAGGCCAGGGGTGTGAATGCTGATTGCCACCGAGGCCAGGAAGCCCAAAGGGGCCTGAATGCAGGTGATTCCCACCTCTCTCTGCCACACCAAGGTCATGGCCAGTTCCTATAGCCTCAGGCATCATCTGGGAGCGGAGAGTGGGGGGCTGAGCTCTGAAAGTTTGCAGGTGCATCTGGTGAAGAGCATCTCAAGCAGGGATAGGGCTGCTGAAGGTGGTATTCCGGAGACCCCGTGAGTGGGTAAACTTGACTAGTCTTCAACCCACTGGCCGGTGGGCAGAGTTGCATTAGGCAGCAGTCCCAGAAAATAAGGGAGCATGGTTTTCCTTGCACATCTGAATGTGGGGAGTGAGTCCACAGTCCTGCTACCACACATTTACTGGGTGTGCACCAGGTGGCGGGTGTGCCTGAGAGAATGACATTTAACCCTTACAGTGCCCCTCAGGTGGGAATTATGACCTCCATTTTACAGCTGTGGAACCTGCAGCCCCCATATCCACCTGACACCTCATATGGACACTTTTTGCCCCCAAAGGGGACACAGATTGCTTTGAATTCAATTTCACAGCACCCCATGGCACTGGTGGGTGACACCCCTTCCCTGGCCCTTATTAGTGCCAGTGAGTGAGGCCCCAGGGGGTGCACGCCCCTCACCCCGCCCTCCCCTTCCTCCTCTCCGGATACCGAGGACCCCAGGCTTTGCTTTGTGGAAGAAGGCCACAAGCTGCGGCCATAGTTTCTGCTTGAAATATTTAGACATCAAACTCCACTGGCCCAAAGTGTAATCAAATGTTCAATTACAAGAAGTTTCCAGGTTGAGCTCAGCCACTGTAGGAAACGGATGGGTGGCAGCAATCTGCGAGGCATCTGACTGGCCCGTGAGCATGGTTTTGCATAGCTGGCTGACGGCTCCGTGCTTGGAGAGAGAGTCGGGGCTCCATCACGGTGCTCGGGGGAAATCCGGCCACCCAGGAGCTGGGCTGCATCTGTTAGCCTGGAACTGTGGCCTCTGCCATAGCACAGCCCTGGGCACTAGAGGTCGGGGAGAATGGTGTCCTCCCCTGACCCGACGGGCTCCGGTTAGTGGGGACTGGCACCAACAGGCCTCCTGCCTTTGTGATGGGCTGGCGTGACATCGGCTCTTGAGCGCCCCTCTTGTCTGGCACCTAGCGGCCAGCAATTAGGTTTCAGCAGTGTGCTTGAATTGGCATGGGTATTGGACATGACCCCTGCCCTGCCCATTGCAAACTCCTGTCTCAGTCAGTCAGCTTCGGCTGCCTTAAGATAAACTCAGACTGGGTGGGGGCTTCAACAACACACATTCATTTCTCATGGTTCTGGAGGCTGGGGTCCCAGATCAAGGCGCTGGTGAGAACCCTGTTCCCAGCTTGTAGACAGGCACCTCCCTCTGTGTCCTCCCTCTTTGCAGAGACAGAGCGGGGAGAGAGCTGCGTTCTGGTGTGTCCCCCTCTAAGGGTGCTAATGCCAGCATGGGGCCCCATTAGCATGACCTCGTCGGAACCTAATCGCCTCCCAGAGGCCCCACCTCCTTTGCCACCACATTGGGGGTTAGGCTCCAACATGTGGATTTCAGGGGGACCACGTGCCTCTCACAGCACCCCCTCTCCCTGGGACCCCCAGTGGGCTGCCAGCACCCAGGTGACCTGAATCCTCCACGCAGGCTTGTGGACACTCATGTAACACCCTGCTGCTCCCGCCAAGTTCAGAACCTATAAGGGAGAGACAGGTGATGGCAAGGTGGGAATAAGCATGTCTCATTATCACTAACAGATCGAGGGCCCCGGGGAGAGCCCTCCCTTGCCTTTCCCAGCTTCCAGGGGCTGCCCCCTCGTTCCGTGGCCTGTGGCCCAGAATCATCACAGCCTCTCCTGCCCTCACATCTCTGACCCCTAACTCCCTCTTTCCCCAAGGGCCTTTGCGAGGATACCGGCCCATCCGGGTAATCGAAGGTAATGCCCACAGCTCAGAGTCCTTTGGGGCTCGCCTCTGCTGGAGGATGGGGTCCGCAGCCAGGAACAAAAACAGGACAGAGCCCCGGCCCCCAGGGGCTTACATTTTAGTGTAAAACACATTTCTTTCCTGCCACGGCATCCTTCTGCAGGAGTGGGTGTGGGGGAGCATGTACACTAGAACAGGGCTTCCACGCCTCC